TTGAGATTAAATAGAAGAAAATACAAAACATTAAACATGTTAACAACACAAAAGCCATATTAAACGCAGACTACTTTAGGCCCGGAAGTAGGATTCGTCAGGTCATCACTTAACGACTGGATAGGTGGCTTGCTCAAACCAGCTCCTCCAGAAGATTCTTTAAAAACTCACCTTTAGACGTCATCTCCTCTTTCACCTTCAGAATTGACTGATGAAGATGGCTCAGGCATGACAGAGGAGGGCAGCGGTGTGCCGCAAGTCACCACAGTGACACAGAGCCCAGAGGTGTTCTTCAGGAGCACAACGACAGAGAGTGAGGCTGCCGGAGAGGTGGAGACTATGATGCCTACTAACGTGGACTTCACCTACACAGAAAGCCCCACCGACCCGCCTCTGGCTGAGCTGCCAAACATCACCGTGTCTGTCACTGATCTGATACAGTCAGCCACAGCACAGCCGGATGTTGGCAGGGAGCCACACAAAGGCTTTGTGATACCTCCAAGTGGTCAGTAAATGAGCCGCTGATGCATGCTATAATAACTGAAGAAGGACCAGAGAGATTCCCTAATAATGACGTTCCAGGATTTCAACCCACAGTAGTCTTTCCTGATTCCTCTACAGGCGTGGTCTTCCATTATCGTTCAGCTGCCGGCCGCTACGCTTTCACCTTTGTCGAGGCCCAACAAGCCTGCCAGAGTGTCGGAGGCTCAATCGCCACGCCGCAGCAGCTGCAGGCAGCGTATGAAGCTGGATACCAGCAGTGTGACGCAGGTTGGCTACTGGATCAGACTGTAAGGTAATTCTGGATCGCTATTCTGGAGCAAGTGAAGAGATTTCTGTTTTAAACCAGGTTTTATAGTTGTGTGCTCTCATGTAGGTATCCTATCGCTTACCCTCGAGAAAGCTGTGTAGGAGATCTGGGAGATCGACCCGGGGTTCGATCCTACGGTCTGAGGCCAGCACACGAGAGATACGATGTGTACTGCTACACTGACGGGCTCAAAGGTGATAAAAGCCTAAAGTTTTAGTTATGACTTTGTAATATTGTATAGATTTTTGTTATTCACTGTCATCTGTTCCACAGGAGAGGTTTTCCACATTGGATCAGCTGAAGGTTTCACTTACAGTGAGGCTGTTCGTAGCTGTCAAGAGCAGAACGCCACAGCGGCCTCCACAGGACATCTCTATGCTGCCTGGAAAATGGGCTTTGACAAGTGCCGTGCAGGCTGGCTAGTAGATCGCAGTGTGCGTTATCCCATCAACAATCCACGTGTGGAGTGCGGAGCGGGGAAAATAGGAGTGCACACTGTGTACAATCACCAGACTGGCTATCCTGAACTTGATGCCAGATTTGATGCTTACTGTTTCAGAGGTAATTCTGAATGTCTCTACTATTCATTAACCCTCTGAGGTCTAACTACACATTTGCTTTTTAAAACTATTCTCCCAATTTTGGCAACCAGGGGACAGAAAATTAATTTGTCTTTCTCCCAAACAGGGCTTCTTATCATTGACGATTTATACCTTATACTTGACTCTTAATCACCATGATCATCATTCACTTACATTTTCACAGCTGACGTTCGGCTTATTGCAGATGAAACTGAACTGAACATCACAGAAATTGAGGAGGCTCTACTAAATCTGACATCAGCTACCCATTTGTTACGACCTGGTGAGTTTCCTTCAGAGCATGACTGGATTACCCATTTGCTCCCGTTTGTTTCTAAGCTTAACTTTCAATTTCTGTTCTCAGCTGTTCCCTCCATATCTCCTCCCATCAATGTAGAGAATTCAGGCTCTGGTTCAGGCTCAGGAGACACTTCTGTAGTAGATTACACATCTGGAGGTCACTCTGGAGAATCGTCTGGATCTGGACAGCCTGCAGACGAGATTTTCTCTGGAGACTCCTCTGGTTCTGGAGATAAGGCTACTTCTGGAGATGGCTCTGCTTCTGGAGACCTCCCTTCCTCTGGCTCTGGAGACATGGCTGGCAGTGCGCATGCTGACCTACCCAGCGGAGAATCAGGTCCCAGCAGTACAGATGTTTCTGGATCAGGTAGTGGAGAAGGGTCCACGATCAGTATTTGTTTTTCAGGCACTGACTCCACTCCTTCAGGCGAGGGCTCAGGTTCTGGAGGACCTCAAGAAGCTGGAGAGGGAAGCACAGAGATCCTTACTTTCCTTTCATCTGATGTGGGATCTGGAGTGCTGAGTGGTAGTGGGGATGCGTCCTGGTCTGGATCTGGTTTCAGTTCTACAGAAAGTGGTTCTTCCACAGACATGTCCTCTGGTTTCGTCACCAGTCAGGAGTTTTCTGGCTCTAGCAGTTTTCCATCCACATTTGCCTCTGGAAGTGGTAGTGGACAGTCAGGAGAGCTTTCAGGGAGTGGAGACGCTCAGATCTTATTGATAGATGATAAACTGATTGATGCAACCACCTCCAGTAAATACAGTGAGCTTAGTGGAGACTTCTTCAGTGGCTCTGGGGACATTTCAGGATCTGGCGTTCTCATTTGTGATCTTAATGGAGATTGCAGTGGTGACCTCAGTGGAGACCTCAGTGGGGACCTCAGTGGAGAAATCAGTGGAGACGTCAGTGGGGACCTCAGTGGTGATTTCAGTGGAGACGTCAGTGGGGACCTCAGTGGGGACCTCAGTGGTGATTTCAGTGGAGACGTCAGTGGGGACCTCAGTGGGGACCTCAGTGCCTCGGCCTCTGGAGGGGTCTTTGAATTTTTCCCTGGTGTGACTTTGGTGGGTTCAGGGTTCACTGAGCTGACAGGGTCATCGTCTGGAGTGGAGGAGGAGGCGTCTGGGGTTTTACTCTACAGTTCTGCAGAGGGAAGTGGTGGATATCTGTCTGGATTTGGAAGCTCAAGCTTTCATTCTCTGTCTGGATCAGGACTTTCTGGATACGAGTCCTCAACAAGTGGAGGAGGAGGCAGTGTTATCTTTCTGTCTGAGGATCTAATGACAAAGGTATCTGAAAACACATCACCAGAGGACTCAGGCACGCTGTTTTCGGAGCTTGGTAAGGGGCCGTTGGAGTACAGTGGAGAAGGAAGTAGTAGTGGCAGTGGTTCTTACCCTGGGAGTGGAGACTCTGACTCATCTGCTGCCAGCACGACTTTTTCAGAAGGCCCATCTAGCCATCTGCCAGTGGCCTATCCCATCATTGAGTGCAATGTGACAGAGAGCACCACAGGACCACAGGAGGACCCTAATGGCGTGCCAGAGACCCCTGATGATGTCCCTGTAACCCTGGCCCCTGCGGTTGTCCCGGCAGGACTAGCAGCACCTCCCATTACAGTTGCACCACCCTCTGTTCAGACATCAGGCCCTGTTGAAGGTTAGTAAATATATTCTTGACACAATTTATATTTTCTGCTCTGGATTTAAAATATCATGTCTTTGGTAGTGTATCAAATCAACATGAAGTACTCTGTAGCTGTTTGTGCCAATTAAAACGTTCAGTTCATTACTTTTAAGGGTGTCACTATAACCATAACCACCAGGTGTGTTTTCGTGGTGGTGATGTGTTGATGTGCTAGCTGCTGCAAATATGCACCTTTGAGAGGAAACTGTTGCTTTATTGTAGTTCCTGAAACAGATGGTTAACTTTATACTTGCTTTTGCTTGGTGGGAGTCAAAAAATCAAATCATTCATCAGCAATAAAAACTAAGCTGTGCATCAGATTTGAATGATTGTTACCTGAAAAAGTTAGCGTGTGCCAAGCTAGCTGCTACTTACTGTTAGCAGCACGTTACATGTCCACGTAGTCATTCTCACCTAAGCGACTTCTTTGATTTGATGCCAAACTACAGGAACGGCTGGTTTACCCTGTAAACTGTTTTGCATGCATGGTTTAACTTGTGCCGTGAACAAAGCAATAATAATAATAATAAACTTTATTTATAAAGCGCACTGAAAAACTAAGTAAGGCAGGGCTGCAGAAGCATCCACCCAGTGGGCCTGTGGCTGTAATGAGACCCTGTGAGTGGGAACCACCCGGCCTAAATGTTGTTGATACTTTACCTGTGCGAGCCATGATCTTCTTCTAACATTCAAACTGTGCAAAGAAAAATGAACACAGACATTAAATGTCAAGAATAAAAACAGTTAAATGTTGAAGTGTGTCACAAACAGATACAAAGTTTAAAGAGAGCAAAAACTAAATAAATGATCAAAAGGCGTTTATATTAAAGTCTTATGGATCAGGAGGTACAGTTGGTACCAATCAGAACGTCAGTGGTATGATTCCCGCTCTACAGATACTCTACGTGGAGCTATGCATCCATGGTCTTCTGAGTCTGGGAACATCTGGTTAAAGGGCTCAGGTAGAGAAAAAAAGCCCTCGTATACATGAGAACAGAACATTTACCAAAGCTGTGATAAAGTCTTATTTCTTTTACTTTCCTACACCTGATTGTGAGCCGACTCGCAGCGCGACATATTGCACAGTCAGTGTTACAGGCAGTGCGGATATCAGTTTGATTTTTGCATGTGCACTGAAACTGTTTAACCCTGACTAAGTGAAGAAAATCAGAAACAGAAGTGATTTTAGTGACATGCAAGGTTTTATTCTTAGTTTAGTGACTGATGGAAAAGTAAGATATGAATCCCTTTATCCCTGTACATGCAACAGCTGTCCGTGTGTATTTAGTTTTACTTTTAAAAAGTCATAAAGGCCTAGAGACTGGCTGGTGATCACATAGCAAACCCAAATCCTTGCTGCCGCTAACAACTGCTAAATGAGTGAAACTGGTTATTGCTGGGTTTTCACCCATGACAGATGTCACTGAGGCTCAGCTTATCAATGCACAATAGAAAATACTTGAATTTTAGCATTAAGCCCCTTAAAAATAATAACTTCACAAGTACACTTTCTGTTACTTTGTTGTCGTATTTTGGAAACTTGTGCAGGATCTACATTACTTGTATCTTGCAAAATTTCAATGCCAGCACAGACTCAGTGTTTACATTTCAGCCTAACTGTGCTGACAAGATGATAAGTCGTGAGCCCAACAAATTACTGCATTCGTGGTGTCACAGTTTTTTGAGAAGCTTAACAATAAATATAGTTTAAAAATACAGAAACACTCGAAACAACATGCTTCTTCTGCTTCTTAATCTACGTCTTTCTTTCTTTTTCTTTAGTACACCGTATACAGTGTAGTACACACAGTGTAGCTGCATGTGCTGCATCCTTCTCAGCCTCACACTGTGATGCTTTTCCACTCCAGTACAACATCACAGTGAACATTTTGTCTGTTTTGCTGTTACTTTTGAAATCTAGTCAGTTGGTGTTTTAAATAATTTATTATCTATATTTTCTTCATCGTGTCTCATTTGTTATTTTGCCTCCATGGATCTCTTTTCTATTTTGTTTTTGGCTGTTTTTTTGATCTGGTTTATTGAGTGTTTATTCTTCTTGAGCTCTCAGTTTTTATTAGTGTCAGGTTGTGTTTTGTTCCCAGTTTGTCTTCTTTATTATTTTAACTGTAATTTTCTGGTGTGTTAATGGAGCTAATACTTACTTTTGTGTTTTTTCCTCTGCTCATATTAATTCCAGTAGAAGAATTTTTGTGTTTTGTTTTAAACTCTTGGTAAATATGTTCTGGTTTGTGTTTCTGGTTTTCTGTTCCTATATTGAGAATTTGTCACACTTATACCTTTTAAGCAGTTCATCTGTATAATTAAGTCAGTGTATACATGTGAGTGTGCTCATCTCACAGTCTTTTCCGTCTTAGAGATATTTGAGATGGCTAAAGCCAAAGCCTCTTGTGTCTTTCTAAGTTGTGCTGGTGTGTGTCATTCATGGAGGACGTGTTGTGTGAATCAGTGTGCATTGTTTTTAAGGACATGTTGGCCCATGTGAACCGAACCCCTGTGGCGATGCTTCATGCACTGCAGAGAACGGCGTTGCCTTCTGTGACGGTAAGTTTCTCATTTCCTTCTCTGACAGCAGCTTCGTTCAGTACCTGTTAACAGACTTTGCCTGAAACATTTCTGTTTGTTGTCTGCATGTGTTACATTGTTGTTGGTCTGCAGTCTGTGCATTAATCAGCCTGTTATCTGAGGGTTTATTTCCAGATAAACATTTAACCTGTTGTAACTGTAGTCAGTGTTCATGAAGCAGACTCACAGTCTCTGTTTTCCTTCTCTGCTGTTGTGTCCTGACTGTATTTTTGCTTGGGTTTGTTGTCTCTCTGTGTCGAGCTCTGGGTCTTTGTGTTTGTGTGACAGATGTCCACGTTCGGCCGTTTGTCAAATGTGCATCGTCTCTGCTCTGAGGATTTACCGCGTCTGTGTCTCGTGTTCATCACAAGTGTCTTCTTCAGCCTGTGTGCTGTTTTTGGTCTGCCATGCCAGCACGCCTCCTCTGCTCATGCATGCATGCTAAATCTAACTGCTGCAACACATGTGCTTTCATCCTGCTGGGAGTTAAATGGTGATTTTCTGCTGCAACTAGCAAAGGATTCAAAGATAAACTTACTGCAGGGACTAGAATCATCCTTCTTTGCAACAATCGGATATTTTGGTGTATATTTCAGTAAATAAATGTCAATGTCATTCACACATGCTAACCTGAGAGAGCTGTTAACAAAGATGGATGATGATTCTAGGTGCAGTAAGTCTAATCTGAAGTTGCATTGCATGGTATTGTTCCCCACCCTGCTGATCCGCCTGCCGTCCCCACACCTCGCTGTAACAGTAGTGTTACCCGCCCCCCTTTTTTGCAGAGGTAGATGTGTGCCGTTCCGACCCTTGTGCCAATGGAGCCACCTGTGTGGAGACTGTAGACTCTTTCAAATGCTTATGCCTGCCCAGCTACGGAGGGGAGCGCTGTGAGATCGGTATGAGATCAGCTTCAGCTAAAAAATACTAACAACCTCAAAAACAACTGAAGCAAGAGAACGAGAGGCATCACCAGCAGATGGCAGTATTAGTTGTTGTGTGAGCAGCTGTGGTGGCTCATGGCATGTATCTGTGATGTTCCTAGTTTGCAATGGGAGCCTGTGTTCTGTCAGAGAGGCAGTAATGGTTTAGTGGTTTTACTGCTGCAAACATTTACTAAACTTCATTTTACTGCAGCAGACAGGTGAGCCAGAGTAACAGTGAACAGGTTACAGAGCATCTTGATGTACACAAAAACATTCTTTAGACCTTCATAAACTTCAGTCCACACTCAGGCCTGCAGATCTTTGGTGTGAATTATCATTATAATTTCTTTCAGTTATTCACTTACATTGTTTACATAGTGCCAGCTCACAACAACAGTCATCTCAAGATACTTGTAAGGTGTCAGGGAAAGAACCGACCATAGACAATATTCAGAAACGAGCCCAACAACCAGGTGGTCTCTTACAAGCAAGTGCTTGGAGACAGAGGGAGGAAGAACTCCCTTTTAACAGGAAGAAACCTGTTCACCAGGTCCAGTCCTAACAGAGCTTTATTAATAATGAGAGTTTGTCTGTCTCTACTGGAGTCCCTAAGTTTATTAACATTTAAATTAAAAATGATTAAAATGATTAAAAATAAACCACACTGTGATTTCAGGCTTTAAGCTAGCTTTGGTAAACTAGACTAACCAAAACAAAGCTGAAGACAGCAGCACGTGTAGTTCAAACTCCAGAGATCGTTGGGCTCAGAATAAAGACTAGACCAGGTTGTGTGCAGAACTGTCTCCAATCCAAACTGGGAGCTGGTTCCTTAGAGCTGAAGGCTCTGCCTCCCAGTTTACTTTCAAACACCCCAGGAAGTCAGCCCACAGTGTGAGAGGGAAGTGCTCTGTTGGGCTAGTTTGATTGATCGTATGATGGGGTCTGATCATTCATTCAAGTTCTTCTTTTAACTGGGACCTTAGAATAGAAACTAATAATATAGGATCTCTTTTTAATCCCAGCAGCGTTTTGGTTCAACTGATGGCTTTTCCACCTGAAAACGAGGACTTTCCACAGCCCTGCCTGTGCAGGGACCAGTGTCTGTGCATCTCTGTGAGACGCGATGGTTCTAATTGTAGCAGTGTTGCACAGATGAGTAAAATCAGGTCCACAGATTTATTTCATGTGCAGATTAAAGGACACGTTTCATGTGCAGATTAAAAGGGTTTTTCACGGTGTTACTGGAGGCCAGTAGAATAAAATCCAGTGTAAACAGAAACGTTCCTGAGATTTCTAGGCCCAAATCCAACATTGTGAGTTTTTTCTTAATTACAGAAATAATTTCCATTATTAAAGACGTGTTGTATGTGGACAGGCAAAGCATCTCCGAGGTGGATGTCTCAGATAAATCCAGAGTTGTCTGCTATAATACAGCTAAACAGGACTAAACGGAAAAATGTGTGTTTTGAGTCATTTGTTTGAAGTGGCCCATAAATGAAAATGAACAGAACGGAGCTACAGAGTGAATGAAGCCTTTGAATGCTGCAGTAAAAGGTGGAAATTGGGCAGGCCCTACTGGCCAGCAGGATGCTACGCCTGATTTTCCTCTCCGTAAAAGTTGTTTGTTTTGTAGGTCAGGATGGAAACGCTGCCCTTTGTCAAACTGTACACAACAGCAAACCCACTCAGGGCAAAGTGTGCTTCTCACTGACTCACAACAGCCGAGAGCAAAAATCAATAAAGTGAAGAGAAGATGGCGCTTATGAAGCGCCTTGAGGCGACTTTTGTTGTGATTTGGCGCTATATAAATAAAATTGAATTGAACTTTACTTAGCACGCTCGTTTGTAGTTGTGGACGAGTAACAAGCTTTAATGAACACTTCGCATCTAAACTCTGAGCCCTGAAAAAGACGCGTTGCATTGAGAAATCTGTGCGCTGAAGTGAGCGAGCGGTCTCACAGTGCTCATTCTTTGCTGTTGCGGCCGCAGAGGAGCAGCCGTGTGAAGAAGGCTGGACTAAGTTTCAGGGGAACTGCTACCGACACTTCACCGAGAGAGAGACGTGGGTGACAGCGGAGCAGCGCTGCCGCGATCACAACGCCCACCTGGTCAGCATCATCTCCCCAGAAGAGCAGAACTTTGTCAACGGTAAGTATTTGTCAGATGTGTGTGAGAGACGGGAGCAGAGAGAGAATCGAGGCACTTTGTTTTGTCTCCACAGCAAATGCACAAGACTACCAGTGGATCGGGCTGAATGACAAGACTGTAGAGAATGACTTCCAGTGGACTGACGGCACTCCTCTGGTGAGTGGGCGTGTTGGACTGGTGTTTTACTCAGTGAGGGAACAGGATATTATTCACACTGGGTCAGAACAAAAATCTATCAGTGCTTGAACTAAGGAAACGTACAATTTGAGTGTGATGGCAGCAACATTGTCATGGTGCTGGGTAGTTGACCCAGCGTTTTGTGTTTTGGCATTATTATTATTATTAGCTGATATGATGTTTAATTTCTTCATGGTTATATTTATTAGTATGTAGGTTTCATTTCCAGGGTTTCCAGTTCTAGGCAGGGCTGGACTGGGACAAAAAAATCAGCCCGGGCATTTTAACTAGAGACCGGCCCACCAGGTATTATAGGAAAAACCATAAAGCCTTTGAATGAAAACAAACGCTGTTGTCACAGTGATGTACACTGTCTTGTTGGTATATATGTACCAATCTAATAAACTTAAACCTACACCATCCTCCTCCTGAAATTAAGACAGAGAAGACTAGAGGTGAGACATGATCATTACTGATTACTGATGACAGATTTAGATATATTTTCATAAACCATTCATTTGCCACATCAATAAACAGCATGGCAGGGCAAAATATTTTTTCTAACATGGCAACCTTTAATAAGTGAAAGGA